TCTTGGTCTGGCTGCTCTCCTTTGGCCTTCCTGGCATGGTTGCACCTTGTGGAACGAAGTTCCAGCCAGTGTAGCCCGCGGGATCATTGCACCACTCAAGCCCGACCACCACGTCAAGGTGGCAGCTTTAGGTCGGTGCTGATGCCAGTTTCCTTTTTCGTAGACAACCATACCCACATAAGTAGCCAACACATCCTGATCAAATGTTTCCGGGCCTTGCAGTCTGTATGAACGGAGCATGTGGCCACGGGGCAAAGATTTCCTCAGTTGATTTTAGACAGGACCGTTCGAATTCGGTACTGTTTCGCTGTCGCAATAGTGATAATGACAAAATCTAACGGATCTGTTCATTTTTCCGTATGGTTCATCGCTCCCAAGGTGTATGGTTCAGCCCTCTCCCATAACGCTTAGTCCACAAATGCTTTGTCGCTTTCTTATCTCATACGAATCCCTTTGAGATTCACTCCATAAGCGGGGCAAATGAACATATAACTTTTTCTCTCTAACCACTTCAGCCAAAACCACTCATTAATGTAACAACAGAAGATGAAGGTGAAAGAGCTGGAGAGGTTTGCTTATTCCGCCTGGTCACCAGCTTCATTTGGACCGACTACTTTGGCCACACTCACTGCGGAAGAAGATAACTCATCCGGAACCTTGGACACCAGGTAACACTGGGTGTTGCAGAATTTCACTGTTGAACCTGATTGTTCCTGTACCTAGACCGCTTTCCGTTCGATATATATCCGTCCATATGCAGCTTGGTGTTGGAGATGGTGTTGGGGATAGCTTAGTTAACGCAGATACATTCTTATATATTTTTTTAACTGAAAATTCGACGTGTCTCACAGTCATCTAGGACTAATCAAGAGTTGTCCAGCAGATTTCAGGCTTCCGGCCTAAGTGGGAGAGGTGGGGTTCGACAGTTGGGTTGGTCTATTGACAACCAGGACAGTTACCAGGTTGTCCATCGAAGCGTCTGACAAACTGGTCATATCGCTCAGTCGTCATCACTGTCATCATCTATCTAGGCTTGGGCAACCTGACAGTATCCCAGCCCTCGTGCTTCCTTCGGGTGGCATGGCAGCTAGGCACCGAAAGGGTGCTACAGCTGAACGATGATTATTATTATTACTATCATCATCAGAGGTAGCAACATCTGGTGTTGGTACTGATGCTTCATGGCCGTACTGTTGGAGTAGCGGTAGCACACTTGGGTTCAAATATCAGTGCAGCTAGGGATATGCACTGATGATGATCTCTAATAAGAGTGAAACACGGGTCCACTACTTCCTTTGCACCAGGGCAGCAGGAGGAATGTTAGAGTGAAACGGATTTCAATACAAATTCTGCAAATCCAGCAATTACCCACACCCTCCTCATATTAATGCCTAACTTCTGTCACCGTAACTGTCCAGTTACTCGAAATCATTTCGTAAGCCTACAACCTCCCGTACCTCTTCGCCGTGTTGTAAAACATTGCAAGTCCAATATTGAATCGGTTGAGTGCTATTCAGGATGCCTGATTGTACACAGATTGTTGACGTTACGCGTCTGTTGTCCGAACCGTCTAAGGTATTCGTGGTCCTTTTTCAGTATTAGACGAATGCTTTTGGGGATAATAAAACTTATCCCCCGCAGTCATTACGTTTTCGCATTCAAATATTATAAACTATGGCCTCTAGAATTCCATCCTCCATCTTTTCCCACGTATCAGGTAATGAAAATACAACAGCCAGAACAACGGTTTGTGGTTGACATTAGCGCACATTTTGACTGTGATCGGACTTGGGTTGTGTATTTGATTCTGATAATGTTTCCCCAAAAATGAGAACACAACGAGTGTTGGTAGTTCGGTGAACAGATCAACAGTCACTTGATCAACTTTAGCTTCGTGTACTTGCAGACTACCTACGTTTTTAGGGACCACTGATCAATGGAAACGATTGGTTCCGCAACATCATGTATTGCAAACAAATGCACTACCTGCGGAACTTCACTTGGGCCAATGAAATCGGTTCGGGACTCTGATTCAACATTAGAACCTAATAAAAATGACAAAACCGGAGCCATTCAAGGCTTTTCGTGAATGATGTGGTTCCGATACTGCTATCTGCTGGTTGATGCGTCATGTCATAGAATTTGCATTCATATTTCTCGTCTAAACAGTCCATCTCCTGTCATGGCACGTCTACCCGGATTAATCTACACCAAAGGGGAAGTACTGGATTCGACTTTCACCCGCATATTAGGACTCATTCACGAGGGATGCCTTTCGCTTTACAGGAAATTTGAAATCCAGACGTGCTTAGCCCACGTTGAAGATGTTTGAGTTATCAAGCTGGCATTTTGAGCAGTGCGGTCGGTTTGCCCGACTGCACTCGAACGACGATCTCCTAGTTGCTTCGATCGAGTGACCCGGCCATTTGGACTTGAATTTACATAATTCGATAGGACTTCATTTCGGCTGTGCTTCATGGATTGTAAGGTGATTGGTTATTTTAGTCGCAAAGTGCATGTTTTTAAGCGATCCATTGTTGTCTTAGGGGTTGAGATACCTTATCCGTTCAACTGACGTGTTCTTGTTTTGATCCAAACCTCCTCTCACGGATAGACCCTTCTTAGAGCAGGCAGCCAGAAAATGTCTCATCCCTCATGCTTGCTATAGATTATGCATCATTTGTGTGCTGAAAGCGTGCCAAAGATGGAAAATTGCCATGCTTGTTAGTCCCGTATTGATATAATTTGGTGTGACCACCTATTCTCTTGCGGTGCACATTCATTCGAACTGTCGCTTATTTTCCCCTCAGTACCCCCGTCCTGGAACTCTTCCACTTCCACCCACAAGATCCTTCCTTTGGACTGACGGTAAAAGTGACGGTTCAAGTCACATCCAGGTTAGTCATAGCTGCGGTTGCTCGCGTTCGAGATCGTATCGTTTGTCAACCGACCAATTAATCCCACCTAACTCTTTTAGGGCTACGTGTTTGTGTTGGGGGACACCAACTGCAAGTTTCCCTCTTGGAATACTGATTTCTGGAACCGCTTTTGGAGGTCTGAATCTGTACAACCCAAACAGTGTGTTGTACGGTGCAGATGGAGCTAACCTCAATGTTGACGACCAATTCTCTACGACATCGATAGTGGTAACCAGTCGAGAGAACGTGCACACCGGCGTGGTCAGATGCGTTGACTCCAACCGATTTCAGGTAATTTTTTGTCAGTTTTTTTGTCAACCCCTTCTCTACGCGAGGAGAGGATTATACAAAACCAGACGTCTCTCTTGTGAGTTCAATCCCACAACAACCTTTTCCGAAAAGAGGTAAATCCCAGGAGAATTTTCAACACTGTGCTAGTCATGACGTGGTGTTTGATATCGCCCGCCCGTAGAGAGGTCATACATCCTCTTGAGGTATCAATGTGTCATGTTTTTGTCTATACTCTCGCCGTCCTTATGTCTAGGTACTGTTCACACACGTATGAGGGCCAAAGAGTCTGTCGCAAGCAGTTTTCGGTGCTTACAAACTGAACTATTACACTTTGGGCCACTTTCTAGAATGCTTGTGTCTCCTGGTATTCACTGTAAAAGTTAGGCATCGGATAGGATCTAAAGACCAGTTTTCGCATAAGAATACTACCGACTGTTGTGTATAATTGCTTTGCATGTTTCGAACTTCGTGGCACCACTAATCGTTGTGTCATTCCTTTATTCCTTTTTTTTCTACGAAGACCAACCTATTTGCGTCGGTCGCAGATGAGGCCGAGATTCTTATTTGGGATGTGGAGAAAATGGACCAACCCATGTCACCTGGGAACAAACTTCAGGTGAGTACACAACCAACCAAGTGCTTGCCTGTTTTCACTACTTTTTCCCAATAAATTATTGTGCGGAACACTTTTGGCCACGTGGTTGTATGACTTTTCTCACATAGTTCTAGTTTGATGGCAAACCGAATGGCACATTCATAAGTCCGCTAGTCCAGCTCGAGTTAGCTTAGTGATCAGAAAGCGAATTTACTGACCGTGGTTCGAATCCACTTCCGGCATTTCGACCGCTCGTGTCTAGGTTTGGATAACCTGGCAGCTTTTCATATATCGTGCTTCCTTTTGAGACAGCAACTAGCCGAAAGGATGTTGCTGCTGAAAAATTATTATTATTATTCATTCGCTACTCGGCTTTTGTCCGACTTCCAAGAAATTTTATGGACAGCTCTGGTTCCAGTCAGTTCGAGCAAGATTTACTTTGCAGGTGTGGGCATTTTCTTAGATACGTTTGCCAGTGTGAAACCACAAAATTGTTTCACTTCTGTTTGCTGGTTTCCGCGTAAACACCGAAAGTACGTTGACAAACATGGTACAACCTGCCCATGGAAGTATTCGATTTTACCGGCCGTAGTACATGTCCAAACAAAGTGATGTGTCGGAATCGGGTACGATCAACGGCTATACGCGACCTGAGAACGAGCGCACGAATCCCCAATCGCTCAGCTGTAGCACCCTTCCGGTGCCTAACTCCCATGCCACCCGCAGGTTGCACGAGGGCTGGGATACTGCCAGTTTGCCCAAGCCTAGACAGGGGAAGTCGAGAGGCGGGGG